GGTCGGCTACTACCACGTGAACAGCCTACGATGGAGGTTCACGACGTCGACTAGGGATTCACGATCGCACAGTCAGCTGCCTAAGGTCCGGTTGGCCAGTCGTAGCCAGCTAAAGTTCTTCTCAAGGTAAGCTCAATCGTCATGTTCGGCCGGGAGCCGCCTGGAACGCGTCGTCGCACGATCCTCGTGATTCACTTCAGGATTCGTGGCTGACTACGCGAAGGATTTTCCTTCTTCGAACCGACCACCTCTGCGAGGTCGCTTCTCGTTTCGTCGAGTATCGTGTGCCAGTGAGAGGTGTGCTTAACAGAGAGACCATTTTCAAGGTCACGAGTGTTGTCCGACATTTCGACTCGCCTCCAGCGATTGTGACGTTCCCCACGGAAACCGGCCTCGAGTGAGATCCTACGTCTGTGATCTTCCAGTGACAGGAACCGAGACTTTGTACTCTCGATTCGTCTAATCTCTCCTTTTCGCGAGGAGGTGAACGTTTCCTTTTTACTTTCGACGAAATTGTGAATCTTGGAGATCTATACCAGTGTCTCTTAGTCTCTATCTCTATATCTTTGAATTTATAGTTGAATCGTTTTAAATTTCCTCGGGATCGGAAAAATAATTAAACCTTTCGTATTTCGTATTTCAAATAATCAAATTATTTAATCAAATAATCAAATTATTCTTATATATTCCATAATTTCGAGAAATTGAACAATTTCTTTTTATTGGAAATCTTGCAAATCCGTACTAGTGTCTATTAATTTCTTCGAATTTATATCTTCGGATTTATATTCGAATCGCCTTTAAGCCTCCTCAGGATAGGAAAAACAATTAAACTTCCCATACGACGTTTCAAATGATTAAATTACTCAGCTTCCTGTATATTTCATAATTCTTTGATGAATATGCTCGAAGTAGAAGTCGCTGGTGATCGTTCCATTATCGTTTCGGTTGCTACGTGAATCCGCGCGGATCTACGTAAACAGCCTTGTACCAGTATTCGTCGCGGTTACCAATATCCTCTTGACCAATATAACTTTAGACGCGTCCATGTCATCGCCATTTATCATTCGTCTCTTGCAAGAAAAAAAGTTTGCGAATCTTCCGACTTCGTTTCTGTCTCTCGTGAATTTTCCTCCGCGTTTTTCAATTTCATACGAGGAAAAGAACGGCGATGGCGTGTCTTCTTCACGATGTCTCGCTAGGATGCTGGATTTTTCGAGAGGGGAAAAAAAAACGAGCACGCGATTCTCGTTGATAGAGGATGATCTCGCTATCGTGGATCATCCGAGGTAGACTTCTGCGTGTTTTCTATTTTTACGGTGCCGGGATCTTCTTTGACATCGGAGACGAGACACACATTGAAGTCTCGGTGGGACGTGTCTTGGAATGGTTCGAACGAGAGTGAATCTATACTTAGCGAGGGCGATCGTCCATTATACATATAAAGCAATTGCCAGTGATAGAATGAAATTTCTGTGAATCGATGATTTTTCGTTATTTTTCATAGTTTTTGATATATATACCGCCCGAAAAGAGAAAAGATCGATTATCAAAGGACAATTTAATTATTAAAACCTAGATTTTCTAGCTGAAGAAAGGAAGAAATATTTGACAAAGCGTACATTTTACATTCAAGGAGTAAGATACCGTTGCTACATGAGGACAAATGACATTTTAAGTACGGTTACTGTTGCACACGACCAGGTTATACAATTGAAGCGTGCAATAAATTTGATATCTATTTTCAAACATTATTTCTGATTCACTACCTTCGCGACCACGTCGGCACGTAAGATGTTTGCCAAGGAAATGAATTACTTTGAGCTTTCGTATTCTCATTTATCAACGAAGTCTTCTCTAACGTTTCATCATTCTCATAGTATTATTTTTCACGTTTACATTTCCTTGGTTCCATATTACAAGGAAGAAAAATGATTAGATGAAAATGAATATTCGTATTGGAACATACTTGGATTTTATAATATCTCCTTTAATATCGACAATCTCTAATTCGATATTTTCGCTTCCTCTTTTTTTTTTTTTTTTTTTTTTTATTGAAGCGTGCAATAAATTTGATATCTATTTTCAAACATTATTTCTGATTCACTACCTTCGCGACCACGTCGGCACGTAAGATGTTTGCCAAGGAAATGAATTACTTTGAGCTTTCGTATTCTCATTTATCAACGAAGTCTTCTCTAACGTTTCATCATTCTCATAGTATTATTTTTCACGTTTACATTTCCTTGGTTCCATATTACAAGGAAGAAAAATGATTAGATGAAAATGAATATTCGTATTGGAACATACTTGGATTTTATAATATCTCCTTTAATATCGACAATCTCTAATTCGATATTTTCGCTTCCTCTTTTTTTTTTTTTTTTTATTTCATCTATACGGATTTCGTCTACAAGGATTACATTTTGTTTTACATTCAATTTCAGTTTTAACGAAACAATTTCCATAGCGGAGGAGATAACGTTTCTACGAGAACGATCCCGTGGCGTTTCTCGTTTTCTCCAGTTCGATTTGCCTTCCCGTTTTCGCCATCGGATCGAGTTGGAGTCTCGAGGAGACGTGCGATCTACCGGGTCGTTGCATCCAAATTTGGATCGTCGACGTAGCGACGTCTCGGCGACGCACGGCTCGAAAAGTGGGGACGGTCCGCGTCTATTTTCGAGCCCCGGATATTCTATACCGTTGCTGATCGTGCAGCGAGAGGCAAAATTTACGTTCAGAATGTAGGATTTATCGCTTCGATCTGTAGGAACGGCTATCACCGGCCAACGAAAGAAAAATTTATCCACTGACGCAATCGGAAATCTTCGATTCCTCTCCCCCCCTTTTCCGTGCTCGCAAATTTTCTCCTCAACCCACTTCTTCTCCGCTCTCTACACGCAGTTTATATTTAAACCCGTGTAATGTTTGCATTTCATTCGGTTATCCGTGTCGTCGAAACGATCGTATTTACGCCGTTGACGTAACGCGACGTTATTGTTATTTTGCCACAAATTCGTGAAACAACACATTGCACGCTTTATTTTTAGGTAGACGGGTGTAGCAGCCAGGTACCACGATGGCGGACGATGAGGTTAGGTGGGTATCTTGGAAAATTTAATTTATACCAGAGACGGATGGAAACTTGATTTTTAGACTCGCGAAACTGGAATCTGGGAACTTTGCGAAGTGTCGAAACTTTCGAAACTTGGAACGCTTATCTTTTCACTTTTCGTTTAAAGAAGCATCGATGTTGTCAGGAATTAAAAGCTTAGCAAATCTCTCTTCGGAAAATCACATTATAATATGAGTTTAAGTACAAACATAATTGGAATATTATGGAATATTATTAGTTAAATAAAAATATGTTCGTATCGTAAATTCGGAATATTCTGGTACACTATTTACACAAATTATTATTTACCTGAGTTTCGAATCAGAAAAATAACACGAAGCTTCGAGTTTCGAATATTCGAAATTTTCTTCGTATCGTTATTTGTTCTAAGACGTTTTCACGAAGATATACAGGCTTTAATATCTCTAAAATGTTCTCTTTATTTTATGTTTCTCTTCTTACGACTACCGGTTGCATCTGTTTCTTGACTTTACGCGAAAATGGCGAACGATGGATCTTCTGTCTACTTGGGACCGTGCAGTAAAGTTAATGGCATTGAAAGGTACGCATTGCTTGTGAGCTTTGTGCTTGTGAGATCCCTGTAAAAATACTGTAGTTGTTTCTTATCGAAACGATCATTAGTTCGAACGAAAACGTAATTAACGTCCATTTTTTGATATCCAAAAAACCACATCTCCGTCTGTGTTACATTTTACAAAAAAAACGTCGAAGAACGAACGATTTTTTACCTTAGAATAGAATTTTTAACATCTCGCATCTTTTTTTCGTGGATTAATTTTTTTGTTTTTTGAGTAACTTGTTTGCTTGAAAGTTAAATATCAATTATTATCGATAATTGATAGCAGAGGTTTTTGTTAGCGACGTAGTCTTGGTAAAACTGGGGATTCAACCGACCGAGTCCTGTTATATGTAAATACTTTTTCTCGACAGTAGAAAATTGACGTAACTATGTGAACAGTGGTCGACAACGAACCACACAGTTTGGCATTAGTTCACACTGTCTCACGAAATAACGAGGAGACCGCACAAGTTTAATCTTTCCTTTCGTTAGAAACTTTCTCAGACGTTCCATTCTATCCCTGTTTCTTCTATATCCTTCTTATCCGCTCCTTCTTGCGAAAAAGGGTTGGATTTCTCGTAATATCACGGTCTATCCCCATGGAAGAAATTGTCTTCGATCAATTTAACGCGATTTTAGCTTCTCGAGGATATAACAGATTGAATCCTCTTTCTCAGCCAACGTTATCGATATTCCCGCGAAATCGAGAAGGAAAATATTCGAAAGTTTCGATCAATAATTGATAGGTTATTTCACTTGTCCAAAAGTACGTGTAGTATCCTTGGAACGTGAAATCTCATCGGGACCCGAAGAATAAAGGATAGATCCGGAAATATTACGAACGACGCGGGGTGGACTTTTCTTCTGATTTATCGTCAGGTTCTCGCCCCTATTTCAACCTTATTTACCACCGTGCGTCGTGCTTCCCTTGTGTACCTTATTTGTTCTATCAACTATCCCTTTCCTGTTATTTCACAGCACCTCCTAACTTTTCTTCCCTATCGCGACTTGTTGTTGATTGTAAAAATATACCATCGATATCCCTGTAACTTGTATTTTTCAACTTTTCCTTACAACTTGTCTTTTCCTGTCCTCGTCCCGATTTTGCATTCGAATTGGCACGGAAGGTATTGCTACTAAGATAAGAAAATACTGGAATTCTGTCAGAGTTTCGGCGACATAAATCTTGGCAGAAGTTCGTTCTAAATGTAAATCAATGTAATATATTAGGTAAGGGGAGAGGGAATAGAAATACAGCCTCTGTAATTCTTCCGTACCATTTAATGTTCTTTTCCACGTTGTAGAAATGTCTAACATTCGTTACTATTCTATTAATTCGATTAAGAATAGTCGTTAGTATGACTACGTAGCGGTAGACTAGAACTCCAAGCACGAGCCATCTAGTAATCCGAAAGCTGAGGTAACGTAGATAATATAATCGCATGAAACACAGAATATTTCTGTGTCCTGTGACGTATAGCGTCCTTGTGTGATAGCTGCATGCTAATCGCGCCTATCCTTCGTGTATTATGTACTAAATGTTATGTCATAATGTTATGTCTCATTTCGTTCAATTTGACAATATTTACCGGATAAAATATACGCGAACTATTGCATGGTACTTGATGCCAATCTATACGAATCAAACGCATAAATTAATCGAGATCTATCGTCGACTGACGTATAACGATATCGCGCACTTTATATCGCAAATCACGCGAACGATATCGCTTTCTCAACGCTTGGCGCTCTTTCAAAATGCGGAATTCGAAACACGTTGCTCTTTGAAAATTCTTTTATGATTTTATTGTATCCGTTCGAATGCTTCGTGTTCCGCTCATACGGAATCCACGGGAACGATTTTTCTCACGATGGCTTTTTTATTTCCCTTTACAGAGGAAACGTCTCGAGGATGTACGTAAGAAAAGGGGAAACTATAGGGGAAACTATCGGTGAAACTTAAAGTCAAGAAAAGAAGGACGGCTCTGTCCGCGAAACTTTTTCAATAACTTGTCGAGATAATCGAATGATTTTTCTAATAATTTTCGTATTAAGGGCTCGTTGCAGACCGCGTTGAAAATTGCGAAATCATTTACATCTCTTTTCTTTTTTTTTTCTTTTTTCTTTTTCTCCTTCCTAAAGACCGACGGTTTTTATTATCTTACTCGTTTATATTATTTTTAAATATCTTTTCTTTATGAGAGACTTTTTCGAGATGCTTCGTTAAACGTTGCTTCGGGCTATTGTCAGATAAGATATTTTAAGGGAGTCCATACAATACAAAAAATGTAGGAAAAGAAGAGGAAACAGGCGGAGACGGATCGAAAGAGGGCGGAGGTCCGCGCCCGCCTTGAAGAGGCTTCCAAAGCCAAGAAGGCGAAGAAGGGTTTCATGACCCCTGACAGGAAGAAGAAGCTTAGGGTAAGCTTTCTATTCTTTGGTAATATCCTACTATATTATAAACGTTTAATCGATGCTCGGATAATATTTCACGACCATTGTATTTTTATGCAATTTAGCTTTAAACTTATATTTTTAACTTTATTTCCTATATTTAACTCTGTTGCGTTATTTCCGTTATTTTGTGACTCAATCGTGCTTTTTCTATCGTTAAAAAATTCCTCAAAAATCGAAGATAATTGTTTAAAATGATCGCAAATCTTTTTTGTTTGCTGAAAACAAGAGTTAAATTTCGTATGTATTTTCGTATTTATTTTATCGAAAAATTCTTTTTTTCGGAAGCTTCTAATCCATTTGAAGAAATTGCACTTTTTACGTAGTTTTCTTTCGAAAGCATTTTCAACGCTTTCGTCCTATAGTTAATAACGACTCGTCTATCAATTTTTATCTGTAGAATTTTCGAAGTTTTCTCCAAACGAAATTCCATTCTTTTTATCGAACCATGTTCTGACAAGTATTTTCGTCTGTGCGCCCTTAGCTGTTGCTGCGAAAGAAAGCCGCGGAAGAATTGAAAAAGGAGCAAGAGAGAAAGGCAGCCGAGAGAAGGCGCATTATCGAGGAACGTTGTGGAAAGCCGAAGAACGTGGACGACGCTAGCGAAGGTACTTTTAGAATTTTCCAAAAATGTATTACTCGATAACACTATAACCGCGTTTTTCTCGGTTCATCGGCGCGTGGTTAGACTGCTAACAATTCGGTCAGGGTCGAAGATCGAACAACACCTTACCGCAGGTCTATAGAAATTTCATTTTTGTCTGACATCGACAGATACACGCGGGTGAAGCAATTTCGATTCGCTGTGACAGATTGTCGTGCCCGAAATTTTTTCGTTCGTCCTGCTCACACTTGTTCGCAGGCCATCTCCTCGTTTTTCGAGCACACAGGATATTTTGAAGTTGTCCGAATCTCACGAATTACATCCCGAAGATTCTTCCACGTTCGTGCATAAATTATAGCCGGACACTTCGACGTCGCGACGCTGCTAATTTGTTTAAACGTTCGCTTTAACAGCGAGAATCTCGAATATCCCCTCGTGTTGTTTCAAATTCAATATGATGAATTCTGTCCGATCTTTTTTCACCTTGATCCACACAGAAACCGTGAAGCGCGTGCTGCGTGAATACCACAATAGGATCACAGCATTGGAGGATCAAAAATTCGACCTCGAATATGTTGTGAAGAAGAAGGACTACGAGGTACTTACGAGAAAGAGAATCAGTTGCGAGAACATTACGAGACGTGCAAATAACGAGGCATTCACGACACCGTAACGATGCTCAATGTTGTTGCACTTGAGTAATGTGCCGCGCTTGCTCGGTTGCGTTCACTTGCGATGACGAACAGCCTCGGATACGTTTGGCAAAGTGCTCGAAAACTCTTGGTGGATCGGTCGTGTTACGCAACCGTAACATTGTGATTATTTATAAGTAACCAAAGTATATTTTTATCGTCTAGATGACGATGCACTTTTCTCCCTTTTATTTTTATCTTTTTAATTTCAATTATTTCTTTTTCCTCTTTTCTTTTTTTTTTTTAAGAAGTGTAAAAATTATTCTTCGTTTTTTTCTTCTTTGTTTTAACTTTTCAAATATATGTCGAACTCTTTGCTAAACGTAATTCGTTCTGATCGCGTTCGGTTTCGCGTAATCCGAGCAAGTGTCGCGAGCTTCGCATTTCGTCTCTCCGTGTTTCTATAATATTTATTGTTTTATTTATATCTCTGATCTTTCTCACTTTCATAACACGGCTATTTTCTCTGTCTCTATACTTCTTTATCTTTGTTACTCTTTCTCGCAAAACTTTTTCTGTTCGCATTTATTTGTGCGCGCGATCTATCTACCGTTTTATCGTCTTTGCTCTTCGTTTAATGCTACCTCGACGTATTTTATACATAGTAAGCTGAGCAATCGTGGATTATTCACGTATTAACTTATTGTGCTCTCACAAGTTGTCGCCAGAAAACGCTATATTCGTGTATGATGGAGTTATACTCACGGTATATAATAATGGTAACTCGTTTGGTTTCGAGAGACGCGTGCTTCTGTTCGACACATTTTTCCCGCGTGTATTTCTACGTCCGACGTATTTAATCGTTTTCACATTGCTTTCTATGTTCACGCCACTACTCCCTCTTCAATTTTCTAGTTATATCGTGTTTTCCACTCGTGATTGTAATCGAAGAGACACTCGATTTGGTCGACATACTCGAAAGCAACGCTGACACTTCGTAACGTCGTTGACAAATTTCAGCTTTGATACCAGACTCACCGCCACACTTGTCCCTGCTTTGACACATTGTCCTTAGCGGTTAACAAAGCGACAAACGTGACACGATAAACTACTTTATGTTTTAATGTTATGTATCGGGCGCTCGTTTGTTTTAAGTCGATCGATAATACAACTATCGTCGAGCAATGAAACGCTTAGAGAAAGCTATTAACGAACGCTAACAGAGAAAACAAAAGATACATTACTGGTTAAAATCGATCATACTGCTTGGAAGAAAACAGAGGAGTATGTTTCAAGGTGACTTGGAATTTTGACAGCTAACGTGAAGTCCATTCTGATCCAGTATCATAAGAGGATCATCGCTCTCGAGGGGGAAAAGTACGACCTTGAGTACGAAGTCGCCAAGAAGGATTTCGAGGTCGAAAAGTTTTCGATATGCAAAAAAGAAAAAGAAAGATAAAAAAACAAAACAGATGACGCTGCAATTAACAAAGCAGAGAACAGAATATTTTTCTTTTCGTTCTTCTTTTCTATCGTGTTTTTTTTTCTTTTTTCTCCTATCCTTTTGTTCTGAATCTTTTTTTCTCATTAGTACGCAAGGACATTTTTGCTAGCACAACCGCTGAACATAATAATCAGTTTTTGTTGTCTTAAACGAAATTGAAGTTTCGGCTGTTGTTACCTTTAACGACGAATTGAACTTAGGCATCGAGGCTGAATCATCTAATTGCACCAATTCTAACGTAGCACTCGCAACATTTCTTTTGACTAGTTTTAGAACGTCTTCCTAGAGCGTACGTAATGATTAGAAAAAGAACAAAAGCAGCAGGCACGCGTGATTCGTAGAATCGCAGCCAGTAGATGTCAAATAATATCATAATGCTGAATACCTAGTCCTCCTATCTTGAGCGATTTCACGTAGAACAACGATTTTCTTTCTTTTTTCTTTCGTTTATTTGCGCGTAGGCAACTAGACCACCTTGTGGCGCCAGTACTACTCCGAAAATATGTTTCCTTCATTTTCCCTTCGACTCCTTCTCTTTCGTATCAGGTTAACGTTCACGCAGTTGTCAGCTTCGTGCTTCTTGCTTTCAAAACGCGAGAATCTCATTCACTTTTATATCCCTTGATTCTTTATCCCCTCCGCGATTTAAACCCATGGTACAGTGGTATAACGATAGTGAAATTTCGATAGAAACGACGAGGAAAACAACGTCAATGGTAAGATATTATCGGTCGTGTAATTCAACGAAAACAGTATCAAAGAAGACATTTCGCTATATTATATTTTCTCTCGTAGAAGATGTAATCTTCTCGTATTCTCGTCTTTCTTGTCTTTTCTGTTTTTCTTTCATCATTTTATAATCGAAAATTTACATATCGCTAACACAAGAAATTTTAATCACGTCACTAAGAATGGTCGAAATCATCCTCCCATTTTTTGTTATCTTTTTTTGCATTTTTCTCTCCATCCTGAAACTTTTGTTCTTTTAGCCGAGCTCCAGACGATCTGTTCGACATATTGGAACAGACTATACGCGCTCGAGGGCGATAAGTTTGACCTCGAGAGGCAAATTAGGTTGAAAGAATTCGAGGTAAATACGATCGGCTCGCCCGAAGAAAACCTAACGAGTCTCCTGCACAGATTATTTTTATCTGGCCTCCCACGTGATTCTTTTTTGATTTAATTTAACTTTGCCACGTCTGCGACCGTATAATGCGATTGGTCGATCGTCCCACGTACTTATTTCTCCGGGTCAACGCACCCTCGAAATTTCACTCTTGATACCTTCACCCCCTTTTCTCTTTGCGAAAGAAATTCCAACAGTTCTCTTTTTAGATTCTCTATCGAACGCTCTTATTCGATTGCGCGTATTCGCCGCGATGCGGTTAGTTCTTATCGGATTCTTCGATCGTTCTGAATTGAAATTTCGAGGGTACGTAACCGGAGTGTAACCTCGTCTATGTTTCGATACAGATGGAGGTCGATCGGACAATTTCCATTTGAACGAAAGAAGGAGAGATTTCAGAGCAGGTCACGTTCGTGTCAGTTTCTCAAGAACATCGCCGGGTTCGAATACCCAACACGATTAGGCATTCAGTTTTCGCGCGACTTTTATTATAGCACGAGTAGAACGAGAGACAGTTTCCGAACTCGGTATTTACCATTTTCAGTAATAGTTGGAAACTAATAAAGTTGAAAATCGAAAATCGAAAGGATTAGTCGTCTGGATGTAAGCGGGAATTAAAAAAAAAAAAAGAAAGAAATTGTAAAGAAGCGATAATTGAATTCAACATATATATCTATGTACAATTGGAAACGTAAATGTGAAGCTGTCTGTTTTTCTCTCGTCTTGCCTCCTGGCTATTTAGTGAAAATAACGTATCACGTGAGTGAAAGATATCTGAGAGACACTCCATGTTCTTTGTAGACGATTTGAGGGAGATTTGCCAAATGTATTACGACCGCGTCTACCTTTGTGAGGGTCAGAAGTGGGATTTGGAGCGTGAAGTTCGGAAAAGGGACTATGAGGTACAGGAGATAAATAAAAGAAAGCAGCAAAAAAAAAAAAAAAAGAAAAAAACAAACGGTGAACAATGCGAGGAGAAAGAGAGCAACCGCCAGCCGCACGTTTCTTTTGTGCAACCCCTCTCTGAATGTCTCTCTTCGCGTTGTCTCTCGTTGTTCCACCCTCTTTCTGTACATATACATACGTCTCTATTTGAGTTCTTTTTTCTCTCTCTTTCACGATGTTTCTCTTGGAGAACACGTTGAGTGGCTTTTCAACAACCAGAAATCGAACAATGAAAAGGAACGACTGCGTTCTCTCGCTCTCTTCTTTTTTCCCATTTTTTTTTTTTTTTTTTTTTTTTTTCAACGCGAGTACAAAAACGAACGTAAAAACAAAGAAATACGATTTCGCTTCCGGCATTTTGCTCTACTTTCGTAATTTCGATGACGCCTCGTACAACGAACGTAAAAACAAAGAAATACGATTTCGCTTCCGGCATTTTGCTCTACTTTCGTAATTTCGATGACGCCTCGTACGGCCATTTTATTCTGTACTGTATAATCTTGGTCAGTCCTGTCTCGGTAATTTACCTACCCTTTTCTTCGATCCGTCTGTCGTTTCCTGGGTAGAATGATACAATCTACCGAATTGTTTTCTTTTTTCGCGTGGATATGAAGTGCCGCAATTCAAACATTTTTTGCCCTTTACTCCTCGATCGCTCTTTTTCTTTTTTTATCCTCATCTTACTCTTTTTTTTCTTTCTTGATAATACTTCGTCGATTTATTCGCCCGCCTCCTCTCTTCTTTTCACCGCCTTTCTTTCTCTTCTCTCTCTCTCTCTCTCTCTCTCTATTTCTCTCTATTTTATCTCTCTTACAAACATTATCTATACCTGTATAGATACGTCCGTCTGATTTACACTCGCTGTTTCTCTATCTTTCTGTTTCTCTAACAAGTATAACGCAGACATAGGCTTTCTAAGCTTTCTACTAACTCGCCAAAGGAAATAAAATAAAAGCTTCTCGCGAGAATCGAATCAGGGCTGGGCAAGCTTATGGAGGAGACGCTTGTCGGGTCAAGTCGATCCCAATGTGTAGATGCGAGAGTGTAACGTCTCTTGCGTCCCTTTATTTCGTTCTCGGGCTCACGTCTCTGACTGGTCTGACGATTTTGCCAAACGATCGTTTCGTCGCGATCGTGACCGCAGCAAGCGTTTTGTATCGACCGCATAACGCGTTCTCGCTGAGAAAAAGAATCGTGAAATGAGATGTTCGCGATGTCCCGACGATAGAACAATCATCCTCGACTCTTCTTCATTTCTCTTTTCAATTCCAATTCTTTTTTCCTCTTTTCTGTTTCACTCTCTCTCTTTCTCTCTCTCTCTCTCTCTCTCTCTTTATATATATATTTTTTTTGTAAAAATTGTACATATATACAGTCAAGGGAAAAGAACACAATTCGAAGGGGCCAAAGTGGTCCCTTTTAATGTCACGCGAGATTCAAACGTGTGCGTGAGACTACGCGCGTGTGTGTGCGCGTGTGCGTGCGTGGGTGCACGGTGCAAAATCGGAAAAGTCAGACGAAACGGACAAAGCATTGTAAATAGGCGGAAGAATAGAGGAAGTTCGAAACAGAATCGTATCGTACCGTTATCGCCGCTAATCGGCTACTACTGTACATTTCACGTCTTCTTCGTGTTTTCTCTCTGCTCGCTTTACCATTGTGTTTTCTATATCTCGCTCTCTGTCTTTCTCTGTTGATTTCTCCGCGCCTTTCACGTCTCCCATCTTTTTCTCTCTTCTTGTTGCTATCCATTACTTTTCTCCTCTGGCGAATTTGCAAGCTTGATTTTCCGGATGTCTATTAAAGTGGCTCTGCTTTTCTCTTAAGTCTGCCTAACTCTGAACACGCATGGCTTTCGATATCCACTAACGACATTCTGTAATTATTTATGATATGTGTATATAAATAAAGTAATCGATTATTGGAACGTAGAAATTTTTCCACCGTATTTCAAATCATATCGGTGTCTATCAATGTCTGCGTGTAATATTTTTAAACAATAACTCGGAAACGAAATAGAATAGAGCTCAATAGATGCCGGCAACCGAAATAACTGGCACACGTTATTCAATCGTTTTGTTCTTTTTTTTTTTTTCATAAAGTTCCAAACGTTCTTTCAATACACGTGCGCATAAATTCTTTATGGCTCGGCTGATATCTAAATTAACAGCATGGATCAATTTTTCACGCTGCACCAACGCCAATACGCATCGTAGATTTTCTATTAACTTCGTTCCGGTCGATCGCGATATTCAATCGCGAACAAATCGATCAATTTCTATAATAAAACTGCAGTTGTATTTTGTCGATAAATAAAAGCGAGGACACTTGTATTATACTCGTGTCTTTGCATCGCGTAAAGGAAGTATGGCACTTCATATTCCCCGCGAGCGGAGAAAAAGAAAATTAACACGTTCTGCAATATTATTCGATCAATTGTTTCTCGTCTGGCTAGAAAATACCAACGAAATATGGTCATATATCGACGATGATCGATACTATTCCGTACATACGTATAAGACGCTGCTGACATATGTATAAGGAAAATCATGGAAGATATTTAAAAGAAACACGATGTCGTATTTGAAGCAAAGAAGAGTAGGTATGTAAAAGGAAACCTGCCTTTTGAAATTTTTGCTGACCCTCATTTTCAACTCTGCCCCTTGAACTTTTTGATTACGTGTTTGAACGAAATACTCGTGTATTATATCGTATTTCTCTTTCCCCCAAAAAGTGTAGATAATCGAACGCTGGTTGTATGTTACCTCCTTTTACCACGCTTTTTTTTTTATCTTGATTCCACTGTTAACTCTCACGAAGGTGGACTGTCTCGAGACCGAGTGGAAAGATCACGAGACCGAAGTGCCATGCTGTGAAAATTCTCCGGCCCAGCCTCTTTCTCTTTTTTATTTGTTACCCTTGTCTTTTCGTCTGAACAGTCCCGTGTAAATTAGTCCGCCACCTCTAAATCCTCTCGTCTGTGAATGTCAATAAAAAGAAACGATACGGATCTTTTCTTTTCTTCTTGTTCTCCCTCTATTGTCCCGTGGAAGAGACGTGAAAGCGAACACGTACACGCGTCTACGATGTCGAAATGGGAACGAGCGAAAGTGATTTTGCACCGATTCGCACGCACCACCGACTGTCAGTGTCCTCTTGTCATGGTGTTCAATTGGGCCTGTAAATAGCGGATCCTTTCTGGCGGAACTCTGTTCCTCCTATAAAAATATTTATTCAAATATAAATATTTCCTTCTAGCTATTATTAAATAACAGTCGATAGATATACTTTCGTTGCATCGATTAATAAACTATGTACTTGATAATCGTTTAATTTTGTAAGATGTGAAACGCGTTTACGATGAGATAAGAATCGTGTCGAATCTAAAGAATTAGAGGGTTGTCGAACAGCGAGAGGAACAGAATTCTTACGGTCCAGAAAAGAGATTGTAGTGGACTTTTTACTTCTTTTTTTCTCTTCACCCTCTGTGGATAAAGAGCTGATCGTGACCAGTTCTCCCCTGATTGGCCAGAATGAAATTCACATCCTATCATTGCTGATCCTTTCTACCCTTGATCCTTATGTTACGTTCCTCTTTGTTTCACTTTGTCTGTGATTCGTCGGTCCTTTCTTCCATCTCTCTCTCTTTTTCTTTCTCTTTCTATCTTTCTCTTTCTCTCTCTCTCTCTCCCTTTGACCGACTCGCTTCGTCTTCTTCTTCTCATCGACGACCGTAAAGGCGAAAGGGAACGAGAAAGGAAAGACTCGAACGTCTCTTAGGGAGAGAGCGGAGAATCCGACAAGTGGCTTCCGGAGGAAGTTTTACCAGAAGCTATTCAAAGACACTAGAAAATCAATTTGTTTGAAAGATCCTTAGAAAAAAAGTGGCCGCTTTTCGGATGGGAAAACCTTCATGGTAAGATAATATTGGTTGAAACGATTTACTAGGAGCAGAACAACTATTTGATATACATACAGTCGTATTATATATATATATACATATATATAATACATTATTTAATTTGCGTTATGCATTTCGTTTCACCGTAGCGAACATGCCGTTGACGTTTAATCAAAATCGCAGTGAATGAAATTTGTTACAGTACAGTTCAATCTTTTATCGTTTGCCATGTCTATCCCGTACACGGTCAATGTGTCACGACATAAAGCTTTGAGCTACATAAATTTACCGGTTTTCCCCTAAACAACAGCCATCAAAGCCGTATTTGTTTTCGGCTCAATGTAAACGGAAGAACGTGGCTTTTGATCGTGGCATTGTCGAAGCAACGTGTTAACAACGACTGACTAGCGTTTAATTTAATCGTTCAATTTCATCCAACGATAGCTTGACTTTGCCTGTTACTCTCTGCACCGTATGTCGGGGTATATCGAGGAGGCTACACGTGTACAACTTTAATCTACTCGCTGGTGGTTTATTTTCACCGTGTCTCTATTTTTTTTTTTTCTTTTTATTTTTACATCTCTTTGTACATCGACAACCTCGTCTATACTTTTCCAATGCAATCTTTCCTCCGCTCTCCGACTATATGAGCCTTTTCTTCACCCATCGTTCCAACCCTGTCACAGTTACCTGGCATTGCAGTTAATCAGCAAACCAATCTACTGTCAATCTCGATTCGTCGAGTGACTCGCTAACCGAATATCTCTATCCGGTATCCGCTGCGAAACCTCTCCGTGTATGCAAACCCCATCCCGCCTGCTTCTGGCACGCAGGTCGCATGCTAATTTCTGCTCGAGTACTATGTTCTCGTTCTTTCGTCCGCTTAACTGGTTGCTGCTCGATTTCGATTATTTCTCCAATGTTTCGTGGAAGCTTTCCATGGTTTCTATGCAGTGTTGTGTGTGTGTGTGTGTGTGTTGTTTTGCGACTGAAATCGTGTTCACTGTGATTAAAAAGAAACACTCGATGCTTCTCTTTTTTCTTTTTCTTTCTTTTTTTTTATGTAATTACCATCCACGGGGATGAATGTCCCTTCCGTGAGCACGAACTGCCCCGTTCTGTAGCAACGTGGAGAAACGATCTCCCTTTGGGAACATGACCATTGATTCGAGCATAATCCACTTTGAGTCTACTCGATTCGACCTTCGAAGCTTTTTACAAATGTTCTCTTGGTCTAATGGAAGTTGCCTAAGAGGATCGTTTCTTCGATTTTCTAGTGTTCCGCGGTATAATTTCGACGAGAAGCACGCATGATTATAATCTTTATCCGATTTAGATGAAACGTGAATCTAATACGATGTTTGCTCGCTGCAGATCGCGGACTTGAACAGCCAGGTGAACGACCTCCGAGGTAAATTGTAAGTAACCATTTCCATCTTCGATCGACCATTTTCTTTGCCAATTTATAGGGCTATTCTTATCGTTCGATAAATACTTATTCCACGTTTTACTTGCTAATAATATTCCATTGATGTCGTTAGCATGAAACCCACGCTGAAGAAAGTCTCCAAGTACGAAAACAAGTTCGCCAAACTGCAGAAGAAGGCGGCCGAGTTTAACTTCCGTAACCAGCTTAAACAGGTTAAGAAGAAGGAATTCACCCTCGAGGAAGAGGACAAGGAGGTAAGGACGATCGTTTTCGACAACGAAAATTGTCGTAAAATTCTGTGTACTTTTAAGTAGACATTTTTCCCCTGCCCGTCGGTGGTCTATTTTGAATTCTTCCGTTTCATCAATTTATGTGCTTCGTTTGTCGGCTGAGGTACGCGGAACTATAAGACTTCGCGACGAAGATGTGACTAACTTTTGTACATTCCTTTCATCCGAGATCAAACTTAAAAGCTAGTCTTATATTTCTACGAACCACTCATGATATGAAAGCCATGATTTTTTCATCTTTTTTAACGCGGATGTTTTGAATTTTTTTCCCATGCGACGGGTAGGTCTGTATACATATTTTTTTCCAGCCAATGAGAAAGACAGTTTTTGTGGCTCTGGTTTTCTTTTCGTGCATAAAACTCAATCGGCAGGTTTTTTCCTTGTATCAGTAGAATTTTGATTATTTGTTCGGGCGTCCTTTCAAAGAGATCAAACGATTTAATCACCGTGATTCGTGTTTACAGTATCTATGACGATTTTTTTTTAATCTTTCGGCAATGTAAAGAACTAAATATATAAAATAAATACAAAAACACACGCGTTCGACAATTCCACAGTGAATGCGTATAATAATAATTAATGTTTACTATATCTGATAGCTATATTTGATTTGAGCCTGAGTCTTTCTCGTGGTAAATACACCGCGAAGAGGTTATATTATTCGAATTCGTGGAATTTAACGTATCAGGTATGAAACCAGTTGATCTCCTGAAAGGCACGCCATCTTTTTGATCCTTTTTTTCGTATACGTAAAATCCCCCCAGTAGTAGCGATAGTTGACTAGGCAATTGTGTTGTTCTCCACAGCCCAAGAAGTCCGAGAAGGCAGAGTGGCAGACGAAGAAGTAGATTTAAAAAAACATAAAGAAAACATTTAAAAAAAAGAACAATCACACGCGTATACAGGCAATCAAGTAATAATAATACATTATCGAAAAAGAGCTTCAACACGTACACACCGAACCGCGTGAATACGACGCGAACAGAAATGGAAAGCCGCGAAGAAAAAAAAATAGCTGGAGGAAACGTTTTCGTCGTCTTGCGCGATTATATTATTTCGCGTTGATTAACGTGACCTGTTTACCATTTTCCATCGAACCGTTTGTAAACGCTCTTCCATTTTGTCGGTCGTTTTTTGTTTTCTTGATTTTATTGTACCTCTATAAACCGTTCCTCGTTGTATGAATTGCATTAGGTCGTAAGCCGAAGTTATTATTTTTGAAATCGAATTTTTGCGCGCGCCATCAAACGAGAGCAAAAACGAGAGAGAGAAAAAAAAAAGAAACATAATAGAACGCCAAAGAATGCTGTGTTAATAAACGATCGAAGAAAGTGCATGTCAAAAATAGGCAAATAATTTTTCCTCGAAGATCATTTCTTATATCTTTCCACCCTGTTCGACCGTAGCTCGTTCTTTCCTCGATATTTTCTTTCGTTTCATTCAGCCACATATTTTCTGATACATTTTTTTCATTCACTTCTTTTGCACAAGGAACCATACTCGACGAGACTCGATCTTGCGCGGATATGAAAATGTGTTCGCCTCTTCTATAAAACGCAGTGAATGAATGCGATCCCGACGATTTTACGGAATATCCGATAAGAATGGGTCGAGTGTTATCGAGAATCGTTTCGTTCTGCTCCACTAATTTTTTCTTTAAGCTCCACTGATCTTTCTTCTTTTATCCGTCTTGTGTGTTCGACGACAATACCGTGGGTTATTCGCGAGATCGTACCTAATTTGCTTTTAACGCGTCTACTTTTTATTTTCTCCTTTCTTCAATCCTACTTTTAATGCCATTTCACAAAGAATGTCGGTAATTGCGTAATAAAGAGCCAATACGCGATATAAAAAAAAAGAAAAGAGAGAAAAGAATTGTAATAAAGAATAAAAAGAAGCGATGTAAAAATAAAAAAAAAAAAAAAAAGAAAAGAAAAAGGTGAGAATGGCTTACAAAGTTAATATTTAAGACTTACAGACTTTCTTCTTCGTTTCGTACGTAATCGCAGAAGCGCTTTACTCACAAGTGCCTGTTCTTTCTTTCTTCCTTCCTTTCTCTATTACCTTCTTTAATTATTCATTCATTGACTCTGTTTGCATCCATTTCGTTTATCTTCTGTTTGATCTCGTTATTCGCGCCAGGCTCCTTCATGCAAAAGTACCTTCGTTTAGGAAACAATTATCCGCGTGCTACGCAAAACCTACAGAAAACAAAGTAAAACGATGGTCAGCCGCGAAAGCGTCGCGCGCATCACTTTCAATTAAAATTCTTTCCAACATGCAATAAGCTCTTTTGCAGCTTGCCTTTACCGCCATTATTCGGCTGCCATGCTTCCAGGCTGTACATGTGTAGGATTGTTGTCCCGTCTGAATCTTTCTTTCGATCCGTGCATCGATCGTCTATTTTTTGCGGCCCGATACAAACAATACAATTCTAAAATAAGTCACGATTCGTATTAAAAATATCCGGACATGTAGACTGGCGATAAAATAGCATTTGCGATGTTCGACGCACGGTTCGATCACGCCATTCTTATCGAACGTGATTCATTCTCTACGATCGAAAGGAGCGACTTGGAAATGAAACAAGGACTTGGATCGATCGAATGAATCACGAGCGACCCGTTAATCGTTAAGTTATTAATTAGTATGTACGCTCTAATAATTGTCCATGTCTTATCTGTTGACTAATGATGTTGCTCTTGCATTATGTTCGCAGAATGCGTCAAAAGATAAGGTAAAGCTTTAAACGATCAACTCGTAGATCGGCATGCTTCTAGTATGAGAATACAGTTAGTGCGTGTATTAGATATGATATAGATTACAGGGATGGTGTGAAGGAACGAAGCAGAAGAAACTCTAGGATTAGATTGAGAAAGCTTGGGCCCCCTTAACGATACAAAAACGCGATAATTGGTTTCATCGAATTTCTATATTTTTTTCTTCGACGTTTCGTTCTTCTCGGTTTTCCTTTTAGTCAAGTTTTTTCCGTATTTTTCGCTACGAGTTTTTATCGTTGGAAACGACCAGCTCGGCGAAAGTATTTCGGTGTTTTCTAGGAAACCTCGATGAATCTTTTTTTTTTCTTTTTAATCTTTTTCACACCGGACTCTTCTCTCGCCTCCTTTTCACTAACACACTGCACGGCTTTTTGGATGACGATAAAGAGAGAAGGTCACACGTCGTCGCAACTTCCATCGGAGATTATTCAATTGGCGATGCTTGTTTTAAACAGCCGAAACTTTCAATTCAACAAGTTTCGAGCCACGATTGTACGATGTAAGCGTATACGTATGCACGAGAAGCGTCGTAACGAAAATACACGAGCGGTTGTTAATAATTTATCGCGACGAATTTTTCGCTTCTCGCCAGAGGAAATTTTCCGTGCAAAAGTATCACCTACGTGTTGTTACCCTGCTTTGCGAAAGTTTCCCATGGCGCTAACCCCGGAACTAGCGTGTGCAAATTTGACCGAGTTATGCTCGTAAACTGCAACCATCTCACATGTGTTTTCTGAACTTTTGCAGAAGAAACCCGACTGGTCGAAGAAAGGCGACGAAAAGAAGGTAAAGGAAGAAGAGGTGGAGGCATGAGGCTATTGACACGCGCTCTCGACGTTTTCGAGAAGGGATCGTCCATCCATCCATCCGATAACATAACTCGCCGCAACAAACCTCCTCGTTATTGCTTCTATTATTCTGTCTTTATTTTTCTTTTTCTGTTTTCGTCATCGTCTCGATTAACTTAACGTCTAAGAAAGAAAACTCCCGAAATGCACGCAAAAGAGAAAACACGTTGTCTATATGTTTCGTCTACGATGATTCCTCGACGTATTATCGAGAATCTATCGAATATCTTTCGTGTCCGAGTTCTAATCCATAGTACAGAATTTTGTGACTGACCAGTTTTTATCTTTCTCTTCGTCTACAAGATATGTATATGTATATTTTTTTAAAAGAAACAGAAACCCTGTACCGTTCACGTTTCCGTCTGTCAATGTTCTTTTTTTTACACGCTAATCCTACTGTACATGTTGATGCAATTCTCTGTGAACCGGATAAAGGGAGAAATGAAACGTAATGGAATAGCAAGAAAGAAAGGGAATCGTTAATTAAGATTTTAATTGTAAAGCAAAATATTTAACGACAATGAAATACATTGCGCCTGTGTGTTCATTCTCCTACACACCACGATCCCTTTGTTCTTCCTGTATAATCATTTATGTTTTATGTTGTAAGATCGAAGACGCCGGTTTTAAACTAGGACAACAAATTTACATATAGATGAGTACCGTGTCGAGTGTATTTAAAACTGTCGGCCTTTGATTAAATTCAACGTTAGAAGAATCTTAATTGCATTCGTGTCGCATCGAAGTGAATATTAAGATCGAGCATTTGAATAATGCTGTTAATTCCGCCAATGGCTCAATTAGAAAGCGATCATTAGCTTTTGCGCGAGAAATCAAATTTTTGCCGCGTTCCAGCGTTCGCTCTTTGGTAAGACTGTAAACCTGTCAAAGAATCAACGAGGCGTATAGAATGGCAGAGCGCACAGTGAGGCGTACACATTCTACCGGGAAATTTTACGCCACGTCTTATAAATATCGACGATGCTTTAAGAAACCTTCACGTTCGGCTTCTGTGTCATTTAAAAAATTTGTTGACACCTTTTAATTAATTTTTCTAACCGATCTTTGTTTATATGTTTCACAAAAAAAAAAGAAAGAAAATGAAAAAGAAAGTTAACAGAATTTAATTTTCAATGCACGGTAGGTTCAACACGTAGATTCACGCTTAAATACGATTCGCTATTGCATTTGTAAAGCTTCGATATAATGTTCGCTATATCTGTACATTGTTTACGTTTAAACATAGCATTCGCGAACAGCATGTTCGTTATTACTTTGCGATTCGTCGCGTTTCGAAAAATAACGCTGTTTACAGTACCTCGATCGTTACCATAGTTCGTCAGCCAATTTCTCGCTTAAATTCTACATGCAGGTTTTCAGACGAACACGCGACCAGAATTATATATGCAAGGGACGCGAGCAGTCACGATGTGCACTCGAAACTCATTCGACGGACGCGCATTGAAATTACCTAGCAACGTTTATCGTTACGGCGCCATTGTTTAATTATCTTGACAATATTCGTTATCGCAAATGATCATTGATTTACGCTATCGAATAGCCACGGGAGAGGATGGCTCCACGTCGCAAGCTCTTGAGCGTTACATAAAGCATTATTATCGTTCGCTCGGACAAATGACGTATCTATAAACGACGCTTTAATGCGACTACATTTGCGAAATGTGCACGGTGACCGTAAATCGCGTAATTTAATGCGTGTGTGTCGTCGACGTGCTACGAGGATGGAAATGTAATTTTATCCTGACCGCGTGCTACAGATCTTGCTGAATTAAATTGCACTGCCTTCTACTACTTGTGCAAGTTAAATGTTGTTACGGTTTTTATGATTTTTCTACGGTATTATTTAACGTTTGAAACGAACTTATAAACAACTGCAAAACGTAAGCAATGTTCCATTGAAGAGATGGTTCGCATAACAAGTACAGTAATTATTTTGTATGCTATTAATATACGTATGTGGTACAAATTTTAGTAGTCAAATAGTTCTATAGGGTGTTCTTGCGTAGGGGGAAGCTCCAGCTCCAGAACCATCACCACAGCCGGAGCCAACACCATCACCACAGCCGGAGCCAACACCATCACCAACACCTGCACCTCCACCGCCAGAAGCAGCTCCAACACCATCGCCAGAACCGCCAGCGCCATCACCAGCACCTCCTGCTGAGGGAGCTCCGCCAGCGGAAGGTGCTCCACCTGCAGAAGGAGCGCCAGCACCTCCAGCAGGTCAGTGAACTGCGTATCACATTATCTACAGTAATCATTGTATCTGGCAGTATAACATATCAGTATAATAATTTTTAGACTAAATGGGAAAAGTATGGCAAATCTATTTTTCGTGATTCGCTGAGTTTGATGTCGCTTTATAACTAAAAAGGACTATTTTAGCATATAGAACATGATTAAAAAGGAAATAATTCTTTATATTGACAGGGTTCTTTAGATAGTAAAATTAAAGATATAGCGATTAAAGATTAATCATAGATAAAGCGATTACGACATGATAAATCTACGAAGTTTTGTAAAAAAACCAATCGATTTCTGTTAAGAGAATCTATTTTTCATATTTTTCATTTGTACCATACCGCTTGAATTATTTTAATTAGATTTTTACTGTATTGAAGACACGTAGCGCTTAGCTTTCCTGTCAAAACGAGATCAATCGATAATGTACTGACTTTTTCAATTGCTCTCCTGTAAAACCAGAAAAATGTGATTTATCAAACTTCTCCCTTGCGGTCTTCCGCAACATCTCTGAAGGATCTGAAAGTCTAAAAGTCTTTTATCAATATCATTTATTATCTTTTATAATCTCCATGTGTTTTCGTCTTTCATGATAACGATACGAGTAAGGTGCTCCATCAACGGCAAAAGAAATTCCAGAGGACAAGTCGCACTTTGTCACAGTCTGTCCATTACATCTTAGAATAGAGTAGTGTTAGTAACGTGAGGTGCATGTACTTGTTCAGAAGGTGCACCGGCGGCTGCACCTGCAGAAGGCGCGGCACCACCAGCGGAAGGTGAAGCACCACCAGCTGCTCCTGCGGATGGAACAGCGCCGCCACCAGCGGAAGGCGCGCCGGCCGCACCTCCTGCT